CTTAAATTTTACTTTTGAATTTCGCAATTATCTAGAACTGTTCAGCAAGCCGAGTGGTCTAAAACCCTACTCAAACTAAAGAAGTAACGCCAGCGAATAATTCTAGAAGAAAACACGAAAAATTAGCCGTCGTGGCTCACGTTCTTCAAAATACCCAAAACTTGGTCATTTCACGTTGTTGTTTTGCAGGGGACGCAAAGAAATGTACAAAGATTTATAACGCACGCGCACAGCTATTGTTTTACTCATTAAAGCTTTTGTTTGACGGCGGTTTCGTTGCCGTTGTGGTTTGCTTACCGTTACGTGACGTTCCAAATTATGGCTACGAGAGATCACCTGGAGAATGATAACACATCTTCTTACTGTGAATAGCACTTACTCTTAAGTTACTAGATCTGGACATCTGTTCATGGTTTCTGTCGGTGTTAACCTCGGTTTGAGTAGGATGAATTAGAGGCTACCACTAGCTCTTAAACTAGTTGCCAGATCTCTTTTGGGCAAAACGCCACCCACAAGAGATCTGGGAACGGGATTATACTCCCCCTGGAGAAGGGATGAGGGGCAGTTTTGTGACTTAATCCCAGCTAAATATGTGATGAAAGTGCTGTCTATCCCTCGAGTTTTCAAGAACCCTTAGTTAAAGGTAGTTTAAGTCTGCATACGAGCCAAGTGACCCATCAGGTTGGAGCTTATCCCGGTTTCCGTAGCATGAAGCGACTAGGAGTATTTCTACTCCCCCCTGGAAGGGAGAACCCAAGAACCCTTAAATATAAATCGAGGTTAAAGAATGAGAACTTCCCTCTCGTGCTCAGAGCCTTCTGACGCTTTGATGCTAACGATGGAAACGGAAGTCCTAGAAACGAGATTAGCGTAACAATTAAAAGTTGAAGGGGCTTATTAGTTGAACTCTTTTGTCTTTCCTTTAGAAATGATCCCCGAAGTATCATAACATCGCGATGACTGCGTTTCCTCTTGCAGGTTGGATGCGGACTGATAATGGCTACATGCTGTCCCAGTTGTAAACGATTGCAGTATTCGAGTATTCCCGAATCTCAAAAGGAAACAGGGCCGAGTAGCACGACAGTGAACGTTTAATTTCTCTTTAATCCTCTGTGGTAAATTTGTGCGAATTTTCCCAAGGAAAATTAAAGATATCGTTGATAGTATAGTATGGAGAAGTTTAACACTGATTTTAGGAACTGAGCAAGAACAACAGACACTATAACATGCTTTGTTCCCATTAGTAGTTTCATTTCTTCTCTTGGGGTCCCAATTGATGAGAAATGTCCCTGACAAATATCACTGAAAAAAGAGAACCATAAACTATACACACAATGAAGTTGATGCATGTGGTACAAAGTTTTTGTTACTTTTTACTGCATTCATAGATGTATTTTTATTCTATTCTTCTTATAGGGTATTTAGGTGATTAGTGCGTTAATAAATTATGTTTTAATTGTTTTTGTTGTTGTTTATTGTTTATCAGTAGGTGTCTATTTAAGGGAAATTTCTCCATACCGGAGGTGCCACCTTAGAAAGGTTTCCTTAAAGCCGGTGCTCGATATAGAAGTATTTTCTCGATCCTTAGGCCGTATTTACATAGCTAGGCAGACGAATAATGGGTGTGTAGAACTGTATATGATGAACAATGCGCTCTAGTTGTATTTTGTGTCCAGGGAAATACGGAAAATAAGACGCATTAAATGTCAGACGAAGATAACAATGTTGCTCGTCTGGAAGATGCATAAAACTAGCCTGCCTAGCAGGCGTTACACGGGGGAGGAGGAGTCAAAGTGTGGATGGATTCCTCCATCCTCGCGTTTTAATTTTTGCCTCCCTACCCCTTCCCCGTTTACGCCTACAACATTATACAATATAAAATGCACACTGCATGCAGACAAGGGGTAACATGCAGCCTGCAGATTTCAGAATTTTTTTATGTACATACAGCTGTATCGTGTAATTTCCATTATCAAGTGTTCACCGTAAACAGGGTTATTCAGGCTAATTAGAAAGAAAGTCTGCCCTCCGGTTAGCCCGAATAGCGCTCCGGTTAGCCTGTTTATCAGTCAGGTTACCCTGTTTACGGTTAGCTATCAATGATAGAAAACCTAACTCGATTCAGTGAAAAAGTCTGCAGTCTGCATTTTACCCCTGGTCCACAGTCCGAACTCTGCGTTTTGCAGTGGATGCTCCGGAAAACATCCTCCTTTTGTAACAGCGATTTTGCCAACTGAAAGACTGCCTTTCGGGCAATAGCTATTCGGAGAAAACAACCAGAATTACCTAAAATACTTGCTGGAACGCCCAGACCCGTTCAGAAGGTCGGGATCTTAGCTAGCCCTAGGGATAACCCTGGGGACGGGATCCTTTTGAACCATGACCAGGCTAACCTCAGTCGACACGAAGTCGAGGGCAATATGGCGGATCAGATGATTCACTTGGTGTTACGATTTATCGCCGTTTGGTCGTTGTCAAAGTTCGTTTTAAGTGTGAAGGAGTGTAAAAAAATAGATCAGTGTAGCTGTTCGACAGATGAAGGAGAAATAAGTCTCAAGAAACTGGCAGGTACAGGTGGAAAAGCGAGGTAAGAATTCTGGGATGTGATCGTCGGATTTGGCTCTCGTAACACTTTGTAAAGATTTTATAAGCTTCTAAGCTTCTTTTGTCTCAGGTTTCAAGATATTCCTTGTAATAAAAAGGAATTCAAATTCAGCTGGAATCCCTGTGACTCGTATACACTGAGTGGAACAGCTTGTACTGATGTAGCAGTAAGTACAGTGTCCCCATGTTTGTCACAAGACAAGTGTGCTTTTATCTGGAATGTATAAACGTAATTTTGACCGTGTCAAAGCATAAGTTAGTCTCAACAAATGTTGACAAAATAAAAAACGATACGAACCAGGTTTGGTGAAAGTTGACCTTCTAATAGGTGCCCTAATAAGGTTTAGAAACCCTGAGAGCTTAGTATACTGAACAAAGACTCCCATTTTCGGTTAGTGGTTACCTGTTGGCCAACTGTTGGCCAGCATGTTACCAGCACATTATGGTCACATTACTGACAGTTGGCCAACAGTATTAAGTAGGCCAAAAAGTGACCTTAAACACGTAATACCCAAAACACATTGCTGTTCATCTTTTTGGCAACTGTCAGCTGACTGTTACCTAACTGTTTGCCGACTATCAACCAACTGTTGGCCAACTGTCGACCGGAAGTTGGTCGATAGACAGCCAACAGCTGGCTGACAGTTGACCGACAGTGGCCAACAGTCGACTGACAGTTGTCCAATGGACGACCGACAATATCTTTTGGGAACTGTTCTTCACTTTTAGCAAGACCTTAATGATCTTAGTTGGAGGTGGTGGCAGTGGCCTCATGATTAGTGCGCCTGATTCGGCATCGAGTGGTCCGGGTTCAAGCCCTGGCTGGGGACATTGTGTTGTATTCTTGGGCAAGACACTTCGCTCTCACAGTGCCTCTCTCCACCCAGTTGTATAAATGGGTACCAGCGAATTTAATGCTGGGGGTAACCCTGCGATGGACTAGTGTCCCATCAAGGGTGGAGCAGAAATACTCCTAGCCACTGCATGTGACAGAAACTGGAGATAAGCACTGGCCTGATGGGCCACTAATGGGTCATATACAGACTTTACCTAAGAAAGATCTTGGCAAGGTTGTCTGAGGATTAAGATATTGGATAAGATCCTGATGTACCCTTGGAAAATCAGATAATCAGATGTGAATATCAGTCCAGTCAAGTCAAGTTTATTATTGCACACTATTTACAGAAAACAACTGAACATAAGATGGTTTACAATGAGACATCAGCACCATTACCTGTTAATTTTTAGGGTCTGTTAGTAGCTAACTGTGTATGTATTGTATTGATAAACCACAAAATTGTTCAAACTAGCATAATAAAAAAAGCAACATTATGATATTATCAATCAGTGAGGAGTTCCCTTGACACCCAAGTGCGATCACTTGGGTGTCCAATTACAGGTGTCCAATTACAGGTATCCAATTTGAACTTTTTGTAATTGGATACCAACACCATTCACACATCAATTACATGGCTTCCTTCTCAATGTTTCCTACAGTTTTTAAAAGTTATGAAAAGCACTACTAACTTTTTCACTGAAAAGAAGTCTCAAAAGACATTTTTAATTCTGAAATTTGCTATCTACAATCATGGACAAAAGCAGTTGAGACGCTCCCCCCAAAAAAACCTGTTTCGTTGGACGTGTGAGTTTTTCAATCTCCAATTTTCACATTTCAACCCCCTCTCCCCTTTTCAATGTTGTAACCACATGACAGTGTCCATGGAGCATATTTCAACATTGAAAAGGGGGAGAGGGGGGTTTGGCTATGGACAATAAAGATGTTTTTTTTAATTACAGAAGGATGCTGAAAGAAAGCGTTTGTTTTGCTCAAATGTTTCAACACTTTTGTCCATGATTGTAGATATGATCAATTAGAAATGGACCTTGTGTCATACAATTCTGGGAGTAATCGTGCTCTTAATTTCGAATCGGCCTTGGGCTTCACGGTCGATTACTCCCTGAATTGTTTCCCTCTGTCTAAGTCCAGTTACTATTACTTGAATTGCATTCATTGTGAAACATTCTGCATTTTTATCTTTTCCTGACAGGCTTGTTCTGAGCAGACGATATTGACTAAGGTTGTCTATTTTAAAGTGGCATTACAGAGCACATCTGACTGTGTGCTTGGAGAGAATGGGAGATGTGTTTTGACATATACAGCACCAGCATTATCGACGTATAAAGAATTTATTGTGACAGTCATGTTATTTTATATTATGAATATGAAAAAGTTTGTCCTTATAAATGTGAACTAATTTTTGTTCTAACTGTCTGACTGCTGAACTCAATTACGTGCAATTTTCTGATTTTCACTACAAAGTAACAAAATGAAAATTGACTGCTTCCGTCGTGCTTTTAATTATCGATTCAAGAAGTCAAAAACATGTATTCTAATGTACTAAAATGTTATAAAACATGACTGGAATTTGCGAACAAGAGAGAAATAAGTAAGAAATATTATAGACGCAGGTGGGGAGCTACACTTGGTGAGTTTTAGACAGTAAACTAACAAATTTATATTCGTGACTTTGGTTTCTTTAAATGTATGCGCTCCATGATACATGTATGGAGGAAAACAAAAGAGTTAAACAAAGTTTGAGACTTAAGTCAGTCATAGTGCATGCAGAATCTAAATCCCAATTTTACATTTTACAAGTTTGCGATACTCTAGACTTTCAGTCAAAACATACATGTACCTGACATGCTGAAGTATTTTGCTTAGAACTTTAGCGCCTGAGAGAAACTATGGGATGGTTTACATGTATGTTGCCTTCTTAATTAACAACATGTTATTTGAATACATTTTTTTTTTTTGAAGCAAATCTGAGTTCAATGTGGCATTGCAATGTGATAAAACAGTAGAAGGTAGAGTTGATCCTGTGGACTTTGATGTCTCTACAAATAAGCATGTACGTACTGACAGTATTCAGTTATAGCATACTAAAATTAACATTTTTGTAGAAAAAGTGTTATTTTGTTTTTCACTTTTAACAACCGAGGTGAAATCTGCTCATGTCTCTCTGTGTGTTTATTTATTTTCAGACAACTGTTTTACATTCCAAATATGCTTGCCCATCTTCTACATCTTCTACATCTTCTACTGGATTGAGTATAGGAAGCATTCTAGTCATCACGTATGGACAGTCAATTCTGTTGTGATGTAACAGACTATTTATAAACTAGCCTTTAAGATAGTACATGGCAGAATGTAATGGGTGGCGAATGATAAATGCGAGACGACGAGATTGGCGTTTTTCTTTGTGAGCCCGAGACATTTTGATTTCTTCAATTGCGAGACCGAGACTTCAAAGTGTTTTAAATGCAAACTCAAGATGTCCAGGTTCTAAGATGTTGTGATGTCATTTAACTTTATAAAAACAAAAAAAAAATAGCAAATCAGTACTTAACGACTTTCTTAGCCTTGAAAAAAATCGAGACTGTGAGACAGCTTTGTGAGAAAAATCGAGACTGCGAGATGCACATAACCGCTAAAAAATGAGATTGTGAGACCCGTGAAATTTGGCGAAAATTTTGCGAGACCATTGGTTTTTAAAGGACCATTCGCCACCACTAATGTACATGAACTACTGGACATGTTGCTAAAACAATTTGTGCCCAAGTCATTACTATTGCATGTCATACAAATGTCACATGCCTGACAGTTGTAGACAAACAGTCTTTATTACCCCACACTCAACTTACAATGATTTATAGGTGGAGGCTGTGCCCCAGGGTGCAAATCCTTGCCCCTTTATTGCCAGTTTTGACAGAAAACGTAGCCTTTTCAAAAATGATTCCCCAAAGCAGTGTTCTCTCTTTTAATGTTCCCTCTTCTATACCCCTGAATTGAGTAAGTTCTTGGATAAATTAGTCATTTACCAGATGAGTGTGTTTGTTTGAGATATTTTGAAAGGAATTTATGAATAAATACTTAGCGCTACTCTCTGGGAGTAGAAATACTCCTAGTCACTTCATCCTACAGAAACTGGAGATAAGCACCAGCCTAATGGGCCACTTGGCTCATATGCAGACTTTTCCTACCTACCTACTCTCTTATAGAAAGTGAAAAGTGCAAAATGCAAGATTTTGCAAGAAGGCGAGACTAACAATTTTCTTTACAAGCCAGAGCCCCATGACTTTAAAGTGGTTCAATGAGAGTGCAAGATGTTAAAGCCTCTAAGATGTTCAGACATTAATAAAGTAAACATTAACAAACAAATCGATACAGTCTTCAAGACTTTACTAAGCCAGCTTTGTGAAAAAAATTGAGACCGTGAGATACACGTAACTGCTAAAAAAATACAAGACTGCAAGTTAGAGTAGTGAAATTCATGGCAATTTTGCAAGATCCATGATTTTTGCAGGACCATTTGTCATCCCCCTTTCAGGTGGAGCCCCCTATATATCCCTGGGCATTAGTGCTTTTAGAGTGGCCCATATTAATTAGGTGTATATTTTACAGAAGTGTCTGCAAAATGGGTAAAGTTTGCACAGTGGGTTGAACGTGACTAAGCAATCTATCTTTAGTCAAATTATGTTCACATTATAAAGTACTGGAAAGTGTGTACATATTAAGGAGGTGTCTGCCTGAGTGATAAGTTACCGAGCTCTACTACATACCAAAGGGAGAGGTTTAAGATTGTGCTAGTGAAAACTGATATCCTTAGGTAATATTGTTTTCTGTATTGCATTGTAAACCTTTCTTTTCCAGGTTTTCCTGTCTCTTAATTGTTTATATCATTTGTGGAATTTTGTTTAACAAGTATGCCAGACAAGTTGAGGGAAAAGAGGTTTTTCCAAACTACTCATTTTGGGCAGACTTCCCTTATTTAGTAAAGGTGTGTTACTTTGTGGTAGTTTTACTGTAAGTAGTACAGTATGTATAGTTCTCGTGTTCAGTTTACCCGGGGGCCTAAATCAGATACAGCTGGACCCCGCTAATTCGAACTTGGTTATTTTGAATTCTCTGTTATTTCGAACTCAAAACCATTTCCCTTGGATTTGCCCTTCAGTCATTTACTATCAGCTATTTTGAACTCCCGCTATTTTGAACTATTTTTCATTTCCCCTGAGAGTTCGAAATAGCAGGGTTTAACTGTAATTCACTTAAAGTGCATAAGTGCATCTTTTTCCCTCTCCCACAGAAAAGCCAACAATATTGACAATCAATGACAACAGATATGATATTAATTAAAAAATAAACTGTCAAAAATTAAAATATCTCAACCTCATAAATTATGTGAGAATAAAATAGAGGCTGTAATTGGGGAACTTGACAGTTTGGTAAACACTAAAACAAAATGATACTGTTCCCCTCTGTATCAGTGGCTAGTAGTGGACATTTCCCCGCCACTCATGGCTTCAGTAATAATTGCTATACCTCGCAACTCAGATACGTTTTCTGAATGGAGGAGAACTGTGTCACTTGCATGGATCAAAACTAAACTAACTCCCTAGGGAAACAACAACTTGAACTTTCGACGTGCACATGATCCTGTCGTGCACCTTGATACTGTGACAAATTTGTAGTGTCAGCAGGCAACAAGCATATCATTTTTTTGAAGTTTTTTTTTCTATTTTTGAGTTGGGAAGTATAACTACTAAACTCTTAATGACTGTACCTGTGGGAAACATTGAGTTTTGTTTTCCCTCAACTTCAATGTTCCACCACCAGCCACCTTCACTGTACTGTTTAAAATTATCCTGTTTTATTTTTAAGGATGGCTGTGTGTTTACATCTCATTCACTTAGAGAACTATGTGGAGGAGGTTCAAGTCGGAGTGGTTATGCTTCTATATGAGAACCTGGAACATGAAGTAATAACTCATGAATAAGAAAGTTGAAGTAATCAGGTTGATGGCCATAACAGCATTATATTAAGTTATCAGTGAGACTTTGAACTTAAATGTCGCAGGATGCAAAGCTTGATTGGCTTACGTATTTATATTATAAAGCAGAAAATTTATTGCAAGCTTCTATTGCACTACTACCTTTTAAAAGGGTGTTATTATTTATCATTTTATTTTTTTGGCACAGCACAGTTTGAGAATGCAAAAAAAAAGTTATCATAAGAATCCGACATTTAGAAACTGTCCTATTTTAACCTTGAAGGTCTCAAATGGCAGCACGCTCAACACAAGTATTTACGAAGCTATCTCACAGCAGTACGGTATTTATTGAAGTGAAAATACGTCCTTTTTAAATGAGCTGTAAAATAGTGAAGACATAAAGAATAGCTTTTCTCAGGCTAATGTTTTCTATATTCCCCTATGTCTTGGGGGCCAAGTTGGGTTTTTGATATGGCTCATTAATTACCTGAAGAGAGAGATTTATTAAAGTAACAATAATGTTATTACCAAGCCATTATTATGTCTGTGACAGGAAGGATGTAACAAGGCAAGGGGAAAAAATCACTCACTCATAGACTGGCTTTGTTTAGTTGCACCATCACATAACTTACCTAATAAACTATAATAATTATTATATAGTTTTAATTTAGTTTATTAGAACTTGTAACCTCCAGAACACAAAACACAGAAGGAACTGCTGTACAAGATACATGTATATACTGAACAGGAAATTTGACATAAAATAATAAATAATCTCAACTTCAGGTTGTTTATCGGTCTTGTACAGCAGCTCAATTGTCAGCTGATGGAGAAGCAAATGCTCCCTTGTTGATTAATTTCAAGCCACACTGTTCTCAATCTGTCCACTTCGTGCCTCATGTGATGTATAATATTATGCTTGTGCTTGAAATTAAGTCAAACAAACTTCACCCTGAAGTCACAACAAAGCTTCTACTAAAGCACTTCTACATCTTCACCCTCTATTTCAGCAAAGTGAAACCAGCATCTTTGTGTCAGTTCATGAAGAATTCACTCTTTAAAAAAATCTTGTTTGGATACATCAATTTGATACATTCTAACATGTCATTAGTCAATTATTTTGGCAGAGTCAAACTATGTTCACATTGTTTCAATGAAACCTCACGACCACCTTGTGTCTTTCACAATTCTTAACTGGGTTGTCACGCAACTTGTCCAGGTGAGGAGCATTCCATGACAATCCAACTCAAAACTGCAAGAGAGACCAGTTAGCAACCTCTAAGACCTGACCGAAATTACAGTGAAACACATGGGCAATTGGCAGAGATTGGAGATGAGGTGCAGATGACGACTATGCTCTCCGCACCACCCCCTGCAACATGGACGTAGTTGATTGCACCATTATCGCCAAACTTAGGCACAATTTCAGCCAAAACCTTTCCAGGATTTCCTTTGACAAAGGACAAGTTTCCAGAGAGTGACACAGCACCACTGAACACCAGGCTATTGTACTTGACTAGCACAGGAACACCAACACCAACCACTGCTCCTGTTACTGTGGTATCTTTGCCATCACTGTTGACTGTGACTGACACTGCAGCAGCGTAAGGGAGCCCTACAGCATCAACATGGTTGCACGATACCTTGTATAAAGGAGAAAAGAGAAATGAGTGAAGACCGCAAATTAATATTATAATATTATTGAGTCAGCATCATAAATAATTATCACAGTCAAATAAATATTAATCGTAATTATAGCTGTTAAGTGTCTGATTCAGTTGCAAAAACACACAAACATGTTAATAAATGTTCAGGCTTTTGTGTGACCCAGGGAAGGGGTGATTGGACTTTTAGGTATGTACTGTATGGGACTCAGTAATGCTTCTCCCATCCCCTCCATCCTCCTAATGACAACATCAAAACCCATGGTTCCAAATACCTGTACAGTACACTCAAAATGCTTTATGAGTTAAGCTGTGGAATACATGTACTCAGTCATTTCCTTTATTACCATACATTGAGCTCCAAATAGTTAACTACAATTTCCACATTAAAATGATCTGCACATGCAGACAATGAACCCGAGGTTTTCATCAAAGTTTCTAAAATTGCTAACATGGCACATACAACATGACCACATACAACACAACGACTTTCTAAAAGTGTCAAAGGCTAATCATTCAATTTGAATTCAGGGATTAATGTATACCTCAAATCCTTTCTCTTTGGCAACGACAGCAGAGTTTACCAAATTAATATCATTTCCTCCAATAATTCCTGCTGACACTGCAGCAGTGATGTAGCAACCTGTAGACTTCATTTCAGCACCATGTGTTGTCACTGTTACCTTGGAGATTTTTCCTTGAGCAAGGCATGCAGCAACCTTACCAAGTTTATCTCCCAAACTTAACCAGGGCTGTGCATGGGACTTCAGGGCTTCTGTCAAGAATGCTGCATTGATCTATGGTAAAATGCAAACAAAGAAACGTTCAATTTCAAGCTGAAGATACTGGTGATCATCCTGACCGGTTTCCATACATGTCTTTTTATTAATATTTATTTAGCAACAAAAACTTGGTGATTCATCACAACCGTGTTAGTCTCCTACACAGCCAACATTGCTTGTCATACAATGCTCCTTACCCACTGATGGCCGGGGAGGAGTGATGTGCGACAACTCAAATAACTTTCAACAGTATCACCTAGTTAACATTTTCTGTATTTCTCATCCCTACATGTTTTACAGTAAAGTTATCAAAATTACAAGTAAGGAGTAATAAGAGTTTGATCACAATACATTACTAACTATAAACGTGCATCATACAGATTACTCCATATTAACTTATCTCTGAATCATTCTCTCCAAGAAAACTTACTGCAACAAGCAAACACTAAAAAAAATTAAGTTATGATCACTCACCACACCAAAGAGTGCCTTTCCCTGTACGGCATCTACAAACTGCTCAGCAATCTCTTTCGCAACTCTGGTCTGTGCTTCAACTGTGCTGGCACCAAGATGAGGACAGGCTATTACGTTAGGATGCTGGACCAACTGCGCTGATACTCCTGTAAACAATTATAAGAAACCATGAAAGAAACGTTTTCATTTACATTACTTCCCTACATGATTGGCTTAAAAAACTCAGACCACTTTTTCATCCAATCAGAAACTTGTAAAACCAAAACCAATTGTTACTCATTCGCACACATTTTCCCATGCATAATAAGTGACCTTCATGTAATAACTTTCAGTTGTGATTGGTACACCGTACTGTCTGTGCTCTTTGTGACTGGTTAGAGCAGTGATTACATTTGGTTTTGGTTTTTCGATACTCAATTGAAAATCTTATTATCTGCGTTACATTTTAAACTGTAAGGTAACTCACCAGTTGGAGGTTCACTCTCAAACACATCCAACCCTGCTCCACCACACTGTCCTGACTCCAGGGCCTTCAACAGTGAAGCCTCATCAATAATGCCGCCACGTGCACAGTTCACCACATAGACACCCTTTTTACAGAGTGGGAATGTTTTATCACCCAAGAGACCTGTGCAAAAACATCACATATGAATTATGTATAATAAAATTTGTAAGTAGTAAGAATAATAAACATCAGTCTTTTCATAATTTCTTGGACTGTGATAAATTAAACTCTCATCCCCTTGATTTGTAATTTCGTTGAAATAATTCTTATTTTGCTCAAAAGTGCACTTGGATTGCAAAAACTTGTAGAGAAGACCACAATCAAGAAAAAAAAACCACGTAATAACACTTTATGATTTCATGCACATACTCAAAACTATTACCCAGAAAATTGGGTGGACTTCCTTTTCAACTTGAAGGGGTTAATAATCAAAATCGCACCTACATGTACCTTTTGTTTGTGGAATAAGAGGAGTGTGCACTGTAATGTAGTCAGCTTTGGGCCACAGTTGGTTGAGCTCCATCCACTCAATGTTATACTTTGCTGCTTCATCAGCAGGAACAAGTGGATCATAACCAATGGTCTGATTGGAAAAATAATAAGTTTAAATTACTCTTAGCTAGAAACAATTTTGAAAAACTGATTTACTACTTGCTTATAGCAGTGGCATTCTTGAATTGTTTGGGTGAGCAGCATGTAGGAGCAACAATATTGGTCAATGGCATCGTTGCTTTGGTAAACCATCAACCATCCATAAGCTGTAAAAATTAGCTGATGTGTGTCATCTGGATGGCTTTTTTAGGACTGAATAGCTGTGTCCACCCATCTGGCCCTACCGGAGTCAGCTCATAATTTACTATTTTCTATACAACTGTGTCGGCGCACAATATGCAGTTCCCACCCTGAAGGAGGTTAATGGAAATTCTGAGGGGGAAAGTGGGGGGCAGGGGGGGTTTCTAAAACTAAAGAACTTCTGTGAGAGGGGTATTTTCTGGAACATTACATGACATGTTCATAACATAATTGTCCTGAATGTTGTTTAGAATGAATTACAATCAGGTGTTTATTTCCTTCTAGATGATAGTATTCTCACCGTCACTCCATAAGACTGCATTCGATGAGCTACTTCTCTACCAATCCTTCCTAATCCAACAATTGCAAGGGTCTTGCCAAGCAACTCAGTTCCCATGTACTAAAAAAGGTGGATTAAATATATATTAGATCAACAAATCTTATCCAGGACTACCAAGCTCAAAATTAAAAGACAAGTTCTCCTTGATGATAACCTTAAATTACTTTTCAAATTAGCTATGAACATTTGGTCGGGTACATACACAAAGACAACATATTTTTAATTACAAGTAACGATTTTCTCTGATTACAGAATGATGTGTAATATAATTCTGTTTACAAGTAAAGGATACATGGCCTAAGCTAAATGTTGTTCACCTTGGATCTGAAAGTGTTTAACACATAGAGAACCGTGTTTCAAAAAACGGTTAATCGTACCTTCTTTCTGTCCCATTTTCCTTCTTTCATGGATGCAGCAGCCTGTGGAATATGTCTGCCGAGAAAAGAAACATGCCAATGGTCTTGAATTTAATACATAGACTTAATACCTCAATGCAATGAAGGTCTCAAAACTTTGATCTCCTGAAAATAAACTTAAGCCAAGCGTTTAAACCTAAAATGTCTATGTTTCACATTACATGCAAACTCCATACAAATTTGAGGAGATTGGTCACTGTAATAATTATTAAGTTGATTCCTTTTTGTCTTGAAGATTTTGGAATTTTAAACACACCATTGGGACTAGACAGAGACTGGAAATAAGAAATGTTGATTATAAATACTCTCAACTGACTTATAAAAAATCCTTGTATGTTCAGAAATCTAAAGAAGTCCTGACACTATAGGATTGACAACAAACATTTGACAACTACAGACTACTTGTGAACAGCCAATATCATACCTTGCAAGAGAGCTGATAAGTACACAAGTCTGTTCAGCAGCACTTATTGTGTTGCCACCTGGTGTGCTACAAAAAGACAAAAAAAATGTCCATTAAGAAAATGCTGTCAGAGATAGGGAAAGAGATACATGCAAAGTCTGTGTTTAACTGGCAATCTCTGGTTTCCATAACAATTGGCATGGAATGGTGGTTTTTTTTCACAGGGTTACCCACCAGCATTAATTTGCTGGTTCCCTTTTAACATACAACTGGGTGGAGAGAAACACTGTGAGAGCAAACTGTTCTGCCTAAGAACACAACGCAGTGACACCAGCCAGAGTTCAAAGAACCTTGACTGCATGATCCCCATTGATTCAACCCAACAAGCCATTAGGCTACTGTTGTACTATTGATTGTTGTAACAGGTGCTGTTAAACTACCCTCAATTTGCACAGCTCCAGAAAAAAATTCTTACCAATCATAAGGTAGGTCATACTTAAAAAATAAGACAGAAAAGGTTCCCAGAAAGTCTAAAGACAGTCAGGAATCTCCATAGGGCGGGGGAAAAATCAAATTTAAGCAAAAACCCTTCCATGGGAGAGGTAGTAGATTAAATGTGTTGGAATAACAGTGTCATAGTGGTGTAAACATAAAACTTCTGAAGGTTAAGGACACAAAATAAAGAAGCCTAGAGACAGAACTTCATAAATATGTTATCAGGTTAAGAAAACATCAATGTCACTATTCCGCTATTCATGCAAACTAAGAGTAGAATGTAACGCAACCAGATAAAAGGTCAACACAAAATACACAAACAACATGGCGTAATTGAGGGGGACACAGCCCTGTGGCAGGTTTGATGTGACTTCATGATAGGTGCACAAACTAAAAGCCTCACTTAGCTTATTCCCCCACTAACGTGGGAATCAAACGAGTATTGGCAGAGCCTTAATCTCCCCAGCACAGCACAGGCTGGATTGGACAAGGTAAAGGCTGGGATATAAGATGGCAAGACACAAAGTAACATGCCAAAGCTTGGGGCTGGGAAAGTCGCTATGCAGACTTAACTGAACTGCAAGGAGTGACCCCAGTTTATTGACAAATAACAAATAGAAGGGAAATTTTATGGCTAAATTGTTACCAACTGTGCACTCTCGTGCAAGCTGCCAGGATAATGCCCTCTGACAGTGCATTGAGATTTACATAGCAAGGCAGTGTCTCAAAGTTCGACCAATAGGTACAGCTGTACTATGAACTAAATAGACGCAACGTGGAGAGCTTGTTAGCAATGAATGGGGCTAACAAATATATGGGCCAATCTAGGAGAAGCTAAGATATTTTGCTAGATTAAACCGCAAGATAGAATCTAAATTACAGACATGAATAGTGTTTGTGCTAACTGCTAGAATAAGGGAAAGTTCATTCATGAATTGAGCATTCAGTATTGTACTATTGTTTAATCCTACTGGATTGCGTGACGAACATACACAGCCTAACCCTCAAGGGATGTCATGTTCCATTAGCTGCGTTTTACCGACCGGTAAAAGCGTTATAAAATTCTGTAATTATCCCTGGGGTAATTTCTTAGTGGGGGAAGGTATTGATAATTTTATTTATTTTCCTTTCCTTGAAAAAACAGTCAGATCTCCAACAATTTCCAAATAGCACAGTCCTTGTTTTCAGCACTAATCGATGGATGCAAAGTTGCAAAATATCCCAAAATGTGCGACAGTTAACTAACTCCTCAGGAATGAATAAATTTCATGACTATGAACAGGCCCGGCCTTAATTAATTTTGGTTGTGGAATTAAGTTTAATTGTTCTAGGCAACAAATTCAGACCATCGAAAATAAGAAAAAAACCTACAAAAAAATACTTTCCCAGGTTTAGTTCAATCTGTTTCTATTTTGTGAAGGATTTTCCTCCAGAAAACCGTTACAAACGATCGAGAGCCTCGTGATGTGACGAAATTTTACACCTCAGTACTTTTACAAACGAGTCGTGATTCCACACAACCTAGGAAAGTCACACCACTCAATGTGAATATTGGAACAAACTCCTGTCCTGTCAAGAAGTCCTCGATTCGCTTTTATGGTGGACTTCTGATCTTAGAGAACTATCACGATGAAGGTTATTTCGTTGTGTATGAGTGCCAGCTTATAAGCTAAAATTTTACCCGCACAATATTCTAACGAATTTGTACAAAATTCGTACACAACTCTACGGAAAATCATTGCACATCGAAGAAAAAGAGGAAAAGATACTTCAAAGATTACTTCAACTTTCCTGGAAACCATAAAACAACAGAGAGAGATTAAATAATTCCGGCTATTTAACTTGAGCTTACTTCATAACAATAATTCCTTGAAGTGAAGCTGCTGGAATATCGATGTTGTCAACGCCTGTTCCTGCGCGACCGATGATTTTGAGTTTTTTTCCAGCCTTGATCACTTCTGCAGTCACCTTAGTAGCTGATCGAACAATCAGACCATCATAGTTCTGAAACAGAAAAGATCAGCCCGGTAAAAACCAAAGACAAATCGATTAAGAACGCAAATTTTGTCGGTGCATGTCGATCAACTTTCCCTTACCGGTATTTCTGCGAGAAGCTCTTCTTTGGTGAGCTTTGTTTTTAAGTCCACAGCGATGCCATTCGCTTCGAGAATTGTTTTGCAGCAGCTATCAACGCTGTCACTGATCAACACTCGCTTAAGATCTAACGAAAACGCCATTTTGTTACTTTCTCTCTGGTTCGATCGATCGCCGAATGAAATTCCACGTGTACACACTTTGTGAATTAGTAGTCACAGCTGCGCCATGTGATTGGTTGAAAAGAACCGCCATCACGTGCAGGAATTTTCCCGCCATTATACAAACAAAATTATCTGAAAAAAAATTTATCGGGTCTTTCAGGCCCAGTTCAGACGTCGTGCTTCTGCCGTGCCGAACTAAATTGCAATTTGGTTCAACTGTAGCACGGCAGGAAATCAACTCTGATTCAGACGTC